ACTGGATAAATGATTCAAAAACACATGATCCATGACAGTGATAAGGAACACATGGGGGCTCTTTAACTGGACTCACAGCTGAACCGTCCATTCCGGGATCGTGTGTGGAATTTGGCCCCTTCTCAGCCGACTGCAGTCCACCAGCTCCCCGAAACAGGCGCAGGGAGGGGGACACGTCCGTGCGTCCGCGGCCGATCCACGATGTAGAGTGAGAACCAGGAGAAACCCTACGGTGAGCCCCGCAACTCCGCGAGGCTGCGTGGAGGAACACATTTCTCGTGTGGCCGCACCAACAGCCCCGTCAGGGTTTTATCTTCAGCTGCAGCGCAACTTATCCAAAGTGAGGATCACTCCAAAAACAAAAAGAAAAAGATCCAAGTGCTGGTGCGTGTTGATCACCGCAGTGGGTCCTTATATCCGCTCCCCGATCGTGATCGTGGGTTTGAGGTGTGAAAGAAAAGCGGTCTTCTGAAACGTGCCCATTCCCGTGGACGAACTTTAGTGCCGAGCTCCGCGCGACTTGGGGCAACTGGTGCAGAGCAGGATCCCCACAGAGCAGCGTGAGCGCACAGCAGAGGTATGTGGGGGAGGGACCACACAGGCACCCTGGGAAATGCAGTCCTCAGTGTTGGACCCTGAAACTATAGTCAGAGTGTTTGAAGTGTCTGATTTCACAGTGTGATACCAGATATTTGAAAGTAATTAAAAGTTGATAGATAGATATACTTTATTCATCCCTGAGGGGTAATTCTTTTGTTCCAGCAGTACAGACATGTGCAATAAGTACAAGTACTTTTTTTTTTTTTTTACATAGAAAGAGCATACATGTAGGATGGTAGTTGAGTTGTTCAGACAGAGCTAAGTTGAGGCAAAGTTTAATCAGAGGTGACTGGGTTGAATGTTTCACTAATCAAGAAGCATAAAAACATAAAACAGTGCAAAGAGTAGAAGTGGTCAAGTGATCCATGACTGTGTGTGTGTCGTGTTACAGACTTTACAACAGGTGTAAAAGTAATGCAGTGGTATTAGTTTGTAGAATGTTTAACAGTGGAAGAACGCGAACAAATATTAACGACTCCATCTAAATGATCAATACACATTTTATAATGGTATAATGTAACGTGGCCTTAAGAACAGTAACAGAGTAAATGTATTTTTTTTTACATCCCACCAAAGTGTTGATTACCTTTAAGGCCCTGCATGGCTCCTGATTCTAATATAACTTTGACTGTCTTATGAACCTTTGCCTAGGAGATCGTCAGGCCAAGCTCTTCTCACTGCTCCAGAGACCAGGCTGAAAACTGAAGGGGACAGAGCTTCTACAGTCAGAACATCAGGTAAGTTTCTCAACTGTGTTTTATTTCAAAGTGTAATATCAGACTTTATTTATTTTTCATTCTTAAGGTGATCCAAGAATCTGTGTATGTCGTGTTAATCTGATACAGCAGCTCTGCAACACCCACAGGATACTTAGGATACTGGAAAAACATTTACTTAAGTAAAAGTACCACATTAACTTTTCTACTTGAGTAAAAGTAAGTACTTGCTTTTAGATAAACCAAAAGTATTAGAAGTACTCGCAGATTGCAGCCTGTTCCCTGAAACCCAAAGTTATTAAGTCTGTAAATAAATACATTAAAGAAAGAACATAACAACATTCACAATAAGAAGGAAGGACCAGTGACATTCTGGCTGGAAAATAACAATAAACACTATCAATCATAATGGAATCACTGTGAACTATAGGTAGATCAAAAACAAATGTATTCATATTTAAAGAATATAGTGACAATCACACAAAGGGTTAACATTCACTTTGTGGCAAAGGAAACAAAACAACCTCATTCTTCTTAAATGTAAAGTCACTAAAAGCAGCTTTAATTAAAACTCTGCACTTGAAAGCCAAGAGATATTTTCTCATTTGCAATTTAAAAGCTGTGTGCTCCTTTTTACATTTCCACATTAAAGGGGTCCTTCATGGACCTGCATGTCCTGGCAGATGTGTCAGGTTCCCCCTCAGGCAAAGTGCTCAACAGCTTCCTGTTGACGAAGGTCATACTTTCACTGTCCGCTGGCACTTCCTCCTCCCCCAGTCAGGACACAGGCTTGTTCTTCTGTGCCATGCAGGGACAAGTCAGACCGACCAGGCTCATACGTAAATTAAATAATAAATGGTGATAAGTCGCTATGTAGTGAAAGATGCAAAACTTGACTCAGATGAGACACAAAGGGAGCGTGAAAACAAAAAAGTGTACGACTAATATTCAAATCTGTATCAATGACCACATTAAAGGACATAAATGAAAAATTAAGCATATATGAATTACCTATGTGGTAACACCAGACATTTGAAAATCTTTTATCAGTGTGTTTATAGAGTTATACTTAAATTTATAACTAGTTAAAAGTGCACTGCACACAACTCATCTACTACTATCCCATCATTATTTTAGTCTTTGAACCACTACTTTTGTACTTTATAACCTATGTTGCTTTCCGTTGTGTTCCCTTACTTTGTGTTGCTTTACGTTGTGTTACGTTGTGTTACGTTGTGTCTTTGCTGATGCGTATTTGTTGCTTTTGTTGATGAAGTGCTGTTAATACACGTAATTCTCAGTCCATCAATACCAGACGTCCGTTTGGACAAATACACGTCGGAGGAATTGTTTCTGGTGTGATGTAGTTTGTTTTTGATCTAACAATGCAGGTGATGGATGATAAGAGATTCTATTGTTTTCTGAAAGGTGTCTTGTGAATGGTTTATTGCCTCAGTAACAGCTGCCCAACAGGGCTGCAGCTACAGGTGTGAGACAAACCCTTTTGTCATTTGTTTTCAGAAAGGGGCAGCTGCAAAGGAAGGAACCCCCCCGTGCACAGAATGTAGGTATGCACACATGTACACATTCCCACTTGGTGTTTGTTAATGTTTTAACACTCAAAATCACAATGTAATGAAATGTTTACAAGATTATATGTAATAAACACTCACTGAAAAAAAGACAATTGTTAAGCACCTTTACAAAGAAGTATTTTTCCAAGTTAAAGCCATCAATTGTGTTAATATTGACTTTAATTTGAACAAATTTGATTTGGAGTCTGTTTCTAATCAAAACTTTTCAAGTTGGTAAACAATTTTATGTGTTCCACCATGTAAGCTATTGTGTTTTTTCTACTGATTAAACACAGTGTTCCGGTTGCTCAAATCTTCACTCATCTGTAATTAAAATAGGTCAATAAATTGGATTGTGCCAGAAAGAAAATGGGCCAATGTTCAGACTAACGATTCTATACTTATGAGGCAGGATGTACATGAGGGTGATTTAATGTTGTTCGACTGGGAAATGAATGAAAACTTTATTTCCATGTATAGTTTGTTACATCATCGATCTTAAATGTTTTTGAGCGAGGAGCAGTTTAATTTAATTTGACATAAGAGCCATGTTGTGTCATTCCATTTGGCTCATCTAGTGTCAACTGGCTAAAATGTAATGTGATTAAATTCTCCCTCGGCAGCTGAATAACTGTAACCATAGAGGAGACAGCCCTGCTAGACTCAGCTGATCAACACCACAGATAATAACTTACTTTTCTTTAAGGACTCTGCTGTTTTTTCAGCCCCTCGTTGTGCTGACTTTTCAGCGGGGGAAAGAACAAACAATAACACAAACTTAGCAGCAGAAATCTGGGTCAGGAATTGCATGTGTGGGTATTTTGCCTGCTTGAAGTGATTGATTAGATCCCTCAAGACTTCTGGGGGGGGGGGGTCTCCACCAGGCCCACACATCGATGGGCTGATTGCTTCCTCATGGCGTCCTCTGCTGAGGCCTCACACTGGAAACCAACACCAGACAGACACCTTCCTCCAAGTGAAGTCTTTTCATCAAAAGCACAAAGAGACATTTTTTACTTTTTTGAAGTAAAACAACTGTAATGGTAAAAGATGTCAACTTGTTCATTGCGTTTTGTTTCAGCCTTAAACAAACTGAAACGTCTCCTCAAAGGATGCCACTGGGAATTACACCCCCACCCTCAGGCACCTAAAGTCCTTTTACATAAGCTGGAGGCCCTGAGAATCGTCCCCACAACTGAACGCACTGATCCCACCCATCTCTCTTGCACAGCCTCTCAGCCTTAGCACTCACATTCCTCTCCCGGTGAAATCATATTTTCTAGCCGCCGCCGATTTGTTTGGTCACAGCGGCGCCTGCATGATAGATGCTTTTCTGGCTGTGAAAAGCCTCCCATACCCCTCGCTGCCCCCCAGTTTGGAAGATAGCGTGGAGGTATGTGGAGCTACAAGTCGGTCCGTCAGCTGAGTAACGGTGCCAGAGCCTCTGCAGTCTCTATGAAGCACAGATGTTGGCAGTGAGCTCTCGAGCTAATGCTGCACATGGCCGGCCGCCAAACATTATACTCAGAATAGTAACAGTGCTGAAAACTGTCTACCCAGCATGCTTAGCTCAAGGTACTTCTCTCTGCCAGTAACAACATACAGTGGAGGGGAGAAGTAGTAAGGAAGGTATGTGTGTACATATATATTTTCAAGGGGTATTACTTCTATACAAGAGAAGAATAGTGCTCAGTAGAAAACATTTTATGCATCAGATGATCCAATGTGGCAGTGCCTTCACATCCCGCTCTGATGGTGCGTTCACACCAAACACGAGGCACATTTTTTCACGTTTAACTTCTGCGAGCAACTTGAGTAAACACAACCTGCACATTTTCCTACCGTTTTCCTTCTATAAGTACAGTTGCTGTGTTGTACTTGTTGTGAAGAAGCCGTAGAAGTCAGAATTGTTGTGTGTCCACCAGAACATTCAGAGGCACACACACTCTTCTCCAGGAGCTGTGTCTGCACGACTGCTGTTGGTTTCACGTCTATCGCCCTGTGCCAATCATGTCAATAGAGTCGCCTGGTGTGAGAGACGTTCCATCAAATCCATTAATCCGATCCATTCAAAACAAACCACTAACATAGAATGTATTGCATTCTTTGCAGGAGGATAAAGATCCACTGGAAAGCTTTCGAGAACTGGAAAAGACTGGATATCAGCAGTAAGTCATTTATTTGCATGAAAACATTTCTGGTTATTACTCTAAGTGGACATACATCATGTCTGAGGGGGAGAGGATCTTTGGTCCGCGTTGCGTTTGGGCTCAATCCAGGTGTCGTGCCATATTCTGCTCCTCACCGCCCAACACAGGATCATTTCAGCCACAGAACAGAGTGTGCGTTGTCAAGGCCGTGCCTGTGTGAGGTTGATGTTGACGGGTGGCTGAGAGGCTCCAAAGTGGCCAGTGTTAAGGTCTGCGTTGTGTGGCCGCTGCCAATTACAAGTCTTGCAGGCCAAAAACAAAATGTCTGCTGTGTGAAGCGGTCAGTGGGGATAAATGGGGCAGTGTGTGGAGCGCAGTTAGGATGCCTGCCTCTCGTAATTAATGGGACGACTGACTTTGGCATTGAGTGTGGTGGCCCAGACTGATGGCCATACCATTTGTCAACATTTCACCCCATGATCCCCCTCCCCCACTCCACATACAAAACACACACATTGGCTGAAAACCTCTCCCAGTTTTTTTTTTTTTTTTGCTCAGGGAAAATCATGCCAAGTTAAGGCACTTTCATATCGAACATCATCGTGGTGGCTCGGTTGGCCAAAAGTGCCCTAGAAGAAATTTAGAAGAACATAAACTTTGCCTCTGAGCAGGTTCCTAATCCAGGATTATCTTGCTCTTGACACCAGTGTGAAGGAAAATGTATCTCCTAATATGGAAATCATTACTGATATCAATATCGGTTATCTAAATGTAAACACCAGCAACCGCCGCACAGATGCATTCAACTTAGGTTCAAGGTCGGAGCATAAAGGACTTTACCCCGAGGTTTGGGTATTGATTGTAATTATCTCTCAGCCTGAGGTGGAATTGCTTCTCATTTGTATCCCAATTGTCCTGTATTTTGTTTGCTCTCATTAGACTGGCGTGCTTCTTCTCCAATGATTACCCTGCTGCACGCAGACACTCTGAGTAAAATCGCAGACGAGTCTGTTCAATATCCAATTTAACTTCTTAATCAACCTTTTGCACTTTCCCTCACTGACATTTGACTTCACAACATTCTCTCAAGTATCTATCTATCTATCTATCCATATATCCATCAATCTATCTATGACCAATGGATAACAATATTCTTAGATTAAACCTGACTGAGAAACAGTCTAATAAGACGCTGTCATGTAAACAGAATTTTCTGGTTATTTTAACCTGAATAAGGTCATACTCGGAATAAGCAATAATCTAATTAAACCATGGGTATTATTCTGACTTTAGTCGCATTATGTAGACACTTATGTGTCTCTATCACATTATAACGTCCTAATGGAGGACAAGATGGAAAAATAAAAAGGAGTTGTAGCTTTTGCAGAATTAAATGGAAAACACTGTGGTCCACAATAAGTTACACTAATTCATGTTTGAGGTTTAAAACTGACAGAATGACATAATGGTGTGAGTCATAATCAGACTGTGCTCTGACATGTAATCAGAATATTAGTGTCCATGTAAACATAGTAAGAGACTATTACAAGAGAATGGACAGTGTTTACACTTGAACCCAGGACTTGCATTGACACTAGGGGGTAACTGCTGATGTGGCAAAATGATGTGAAAACTCCAATCAGACATTATACAGTGATTCAGACGTTGGTTAACCATGTCCTGGATATAGACTGGGCCCGATCTGATTTTTGCAGTGTCTTGTATCTACTGTTAGTATTATTTGACCTCCTTTGACCTAAGCACCTTTCAAATTCACTGCGTCAACACATCTTCTTTCCAGGAAAATACCTCATCGTCCCTTTTAGTGATTGTTGCATGATTTGTATTTCTTTGTTCCTCTTCCGTTCTGCTCTCTTAGTATCATGAGTATCAAACTCCTGGAGACTTGATCTTATGAGACGGGGTCACATTAGTTTCAGAAATCTGTTGGAGAAGGTGTACGTGTGTGTCCTCCATGAGTCTGGCTGCTCTGCCAAAACAAGGTAGTAGTCAGACCTCCTTCCTGCTGGGAGCCCCTCCCAATTCTGGGACCCCCCACATTCACATATTCACCTCACCTACCCCCTCCCACCAGGAAGAATCAGCGGTGGGTCTTCGGCAGTGATAAAGAAAGCCCAGCTGTTCAAACAGTCGGGAGGGAACACAGTGGGGGAGGCTGCAGGGAAACATCAGCATATTCAAACTCCGAGCACATCAACAGACCAAATGAATGAAGTGACCTGAAAATGAAATGGAAGCAGAAAGAAAAAATAAGCTTATGATTATTTTGAAAAGCACATTTTCGATTCTATAAATATTAATGAGGTCTCGTTAACACAATTCAACACCAGTGCGACTACACTAAGGAAGAAACTAAAAGTACAAGATTCTTTGTGTTATTTGTGGCCAAAGAAAGAAGCTGCAGGGTCTGTAATTCTCTATGTCTGAACAAAATGTGTTTGCATGTTTTTACTTTGTGTGTAGCTGTGATCCTTCATGTCAGATATTTCCTCTGACCAGTATCAGCATGAGATGAACTGCACATAATGATATTGATGTCAACTTCGATCTGGTTGCATTTAGGCCTAAGCCTTCCAAACACATTAAATATCAGCAGATGGTTTATCATTCATCATCAGAGTCTGTATAGAAGACAGTGAACAGACTACATTTCTGTGTTTTTCATTTTAACATAAAAAGCAGTGTGAAATCCCTGAATCAGTATAAAGGGTTAAATCTCTTCTTCTCTCCACTCTTCTCTTTGCTTGGCTGACAGATCATGACTTCATGGTCAGAACGTCGTCTCATAAAGTCAACATAAACACATCACCAGTGATTTTAATGTTTAAAACGCGTGATTACAGAAAAAAGTGAGAGACGACAGGAAGGTGTTTTCTGGACTTTGCTGTCACACACACCCAGCCTAAAACCTCGGCACCACACGAAGCTGCCACTTGTCAGCCTGTTACATCACCGTCAGTGTTCCGCTCTCTGTGGTCACTTGTCCTCCGGAGGAACTCTGCAGATTTGGGTCCGGATCGGGATTTTTGACTTATGGTGCAGTCAACCACTAAAGGGTGATTGAAGCAACCAAAATACCAAGTGTAGAGGCGCAGGGTCACACGCATTACAAGATGCAGTGTGTTAGTGTTTCTGTGTTCATAAATCATGTATGTTCCTGCTCTGTCTATCTCAGAACATTAATTACCTCTAAAAATATAACTAAAAGCCTCAGTAACGAGTTAATAAAAAGAGTGTGAGGAGATCTGTCTCCACCCTCACCTCTGTAATTCCTCTTTGAAAGAAAACAGGACACAATGCAGCTTTTCTTCTGACATGGATGCTGACATTTTTGATTTGTAGTGTGGATGCTCAGAATGCGTAGCAGCCACATGTAAAACACAATAACTACACAAATGATCATGGATATTCCTGCACTCAGAAGCTCAATGCGCATCAGAACGTCACTTCGAAAAAATGCAACATCAGCGTCTAGACTGCTCAAATAAAGAAGAAATTGGCAAGTTCACCTGGGTGTCATGTTTCCATCACTGCAGATCGGTGGCGATACAACCCTGTAGAGTAATTTGACTTGAGAGTGAATACAGATTGTATTCAGTCCCACTGCAGACAAAAGCCAGATGTTAGTGGGTAAGGGGCTTCATACAACTATGTGTCTATGGTGTCTGCACCTGCATCTGTGTACAGGGCTGTAATGGAGAATAAGTGAGGTTTAACAGATGTAAGCTTTGGTATGTTTGCTCTGATTGTTTGTTCGTGTCATTACATTTGCATTTCAGAGAGCGCTTGTTAGATGAAACCATGCTGCTGCGAGCTCAGTGATGGGTTAAAGGGTTACTTGTTGAAAACAATGTATTGTTAATAGGTCACTTATTTTGAATGGAATGGAGGAAGTGCACATATGTGATGGGAGATAAGTGGGAGAGAGGCTGCAGGGGATGTGAGTTTTTAATTTGTTGTCAAGAAAACATGAAGCACAGAAATATGAAGCTTTGCGTGGCCCTAAAATGATTTGTGAATTAACGTTACAACTTTTAAAAGCACCAGATTATCAGTTGTGATCGGCTAAAACCCCTTCAGTTGTGGCGATTGGCTGATTATCTGTGTGTGGAGAGCAAGAGGAGGGCACAGCACTTTGATAGCACCCCGGGGACACTGGTGACGCCACCCAGCCCCCTACCCAACTTCTATCCCCTCACAACCTCCCCACTGTGTCTCCATCCTGGCCCATTGTCTGGTGACTGACGGTGTGTGGCATTCAAACCCAGCTGGAGCTTTTTGTTTCCAGGGAGGGAGGAGATACCTGGCTAATCACCTGGAAAAGAAAAAAACCTTTCACACTGTATTTCTTCCTTTGTTATCTAATAGTAAAAACCTCTCAGTTTTATTCAGTCTCTGCATCAAGCCCACAGCACTCATGCACTTTAAAGCTGCAACAAATCATGTTTACTGATTGATTTTGATGGGATTACAAAAACTGAAGTTATGCATTTGGATTTAATTACCGACGTATGCACAAAATAGTTTTTCACACAGCACCTTCTACAGATATAATGTGTAAATGTGTGAGCTGCAGAGCTGCTGGTGGGCAGATATTGTTGTTTGGACAGATGTGGCACAGTAGTACACACATTATTTCTCCCATGGCTTTTTTGTCTTGATACATCTTTGACGCTGTGGTACATATGTTGTGCTTGATAGACATACAACAAGGAACCGTCTTTTCTCTGTTACTGAAAAAAACTGATAATTTCCCTCAAATGCATTAAAATGAAAACAACGAGCCAGTTTTGAAAATGTAAGGAGTAGAAAGTGTAGATGTGTCAAAATGAAAGTACAGACACTTGAAAAATCTACTTAAGTACAGCATCAAAGTATTTTCACTTTGTTGCTTCCCACCTCCACCTATGGACAAAGCCAAATTAGACCCTTCCCTTCTTCCAGTCCTTATTTGATAAGCTAAGCTGGAAGCTTTATCATACACACAGGATTGGTGGACGTTATCTATAGATGATAAGAATAAGCATATTTACCAAGATGTCAAATTATTCTTTTAATTTTAATTCCATTTTGATTAAATTTTTTGGATTATTGCTGATTTGAAGCACACTAGCAAAGTCACTGTTAGGCTTTCAGTCTTGATTATGCTTGTCTTGTTTAAACGTTTTACTTGCAAGAGTTCTAGGGGTTAAACTGTTGGATGTCTCCTTACCACCACCACCCTCAAAACCAGAATAGAGGGAGGTGTTGAGGTGAGAATGCAGCGCTCCCTGCTCCAGCTGCAGCCCCTCTCTCTGACCCTAAACAGCCGGGGTCCTCGCCGCCTTTGTGGAAACAAGCTGACAGGAAAGGTAAACACCAAGGTGTGGACAGAGCGTCTTCCTTCGGTGGTCTCATCAGTCACACACGGGCCCCTGCACGGTTTAAACACAGCTCTAAATCAGAGGACGCAGGCAGTGGACGCAAACATCCACCCAGCAGAGGAGGAACAATGGTGTGAGAGGTGATGTGATGATAGGAGAGCACAGGGCTGCTCCTCTCCCATTGTAAGGGAGATTTCTGGTATACAGGGACCTCTAGGGGTCAAGCTAGGGCACAGTGCATTCATGCATTTTTATTTTGTGCACGTCAATTTTTGTCGATGTTGACTTGAAAATCCTTCCATGACTCATCTGCTTTATTTTTTTGTTTCAGCTGGATTCAGGCCAATATGAAGAGAGGGAGTTGTCTGGAAAACTTGAGAAGCCACTGTAGAGCTTGAGAGAAATTTAGTGCGTTGCATCATAAGTAAGTACAGTTCACAAAAAAGACATGCAGTGATTCTCATCTGGTTTGTTTCCTCAACTTGAAATAAACACATTAAAGCCCTATTTGAGAGAGAGAGTGAGAGAGAGAGTGGGAGGGGGGGGGTAGTGGTGGAGGAAATACTTAACCTTGTTAAAGTACAAATATAAAGACATGAACTCAATTAAAAATGAAAGTACCACATTAACTATTCTACTTGAGTAAAGTTAAGTAAGTACTTGCTTTCAATACAACGTATTTAAAAGTAAAAGTCATTTTAGAGTGAAGCCTGTTATATCACGACTCTTGGTGGTGGTGTCTTCCTGATGCTCTATAGTTGCAGGAAGTGGGGTCTAATGTTACTTGGTCGCTCCGATTGGAAAAGTGAACCAATTCCTCTCTTGTTATTTATTATTTTATTTTTAAGTATTAAAACACAATGTAGCAATAGTATGCATTGCATTGTCAAAATGTAGTGGAGCAGAAAGTACACAAGTAAATGTGCCTCGTTCCATCCCACCATCAGTGTTACATTTCCATTCATTTTTATTTTTGCATGTTTCAGTACGTTAAAACGAGAGTTAACATTTTTAACTATATGTATTACTTAAAAAAAACACAGTACTAATTGGTGCTGAATGTGTATATTTACAGTAATGTAGTATGAAGTTTGATGTGATGTAGTATGATATTTACCTCAATACTATTTGTATGTTTATTTGTTTCTAGGCAAGATTAGATAAAAACTACAGAACCTGGTGTGTGTGATGTTTTATCGGTTTGGGAAGAACCCATTCAATTTAGTGCAATTTTTTATTGGATAATTCAATGATGAAAAAATAAGGCATGTTTGAAGGATTCTAAGTCTATAAGTGCAGCTTGATTTGATTTAAGGGGACTATCTGGATTTGGCTGAAGCATGCACTCTGTATACCGTGTGCCATTCCAGTAGATTAAAGATTTTTGTATTCTAGACACATCAGTGCAAGTTAGAGCTCTTAATATTTTGCAAATTGACATCATATTTTAAATCATTGCATGGGCTAATCCTGCTTTCTTTGTATTGTTGCACCTTGATTGCTGCTAACTGAAAACCTGACTTATTGTAAAACCTTATGAGCCAAACCCGAATGTGATCTTCATGTTTTATCTCCAGGGAAGGTCTCCACACTGCTTGGTCGGATTAATCTCTCGCAAAACCCACTGGAGGAAGCTAAAAATACCCACCACTCCAGCTGAAAAAACACCAATGGAGAAGCAGAGACACGATGAATAAATAAAAGTGTTTTTAAATATAACATTTAATGATATGTCTTCAAGCAGAGAGGATGGGACAGATGAAGGTCAATGAGACGAAGAAGAAGACGCAGACCAGTGACGACAGTTTAGAGTTTGCCATCCTGAATAAATCCTCCATTCCTTCAAGTAAGATGAGGACACTGACAGTCTTTGTCCATGTGTGACCCTGTGGAGTCATTTACCACACCGCCCTCTGCTGGTGGGATATATCATGTTCATTAGTTGCCCCCGCTGGCATCTTTTTGCAGTGCAAGAAAATAACGTCCGTCTTAGCTCATTTGGAATCAGGGGAAAACCTGTGTGAATGCATTCATCAGCACAAACAGAATAAAAGAAGATAATATTCAGAATAAATACATAAAAGTGAATATAACAAAATAAAGTGAATTATAAGTGAAATAACAATATAATGTTTATACGGAGTAAATGCAGAACCAGTGTCAGTGTACATGAGAAAGTAAACTAATACTTAAATAAAGTAGCAATAGAAAGCAGTAATGATAATAGTATAGGAGTAAGTGATATGGAAGTAAGATTGTGCACAAATGATAATATTGCATAAGGATAATAATAATAACCAATCCCAGCTGTCATCGGGTCAGTTCAGTACTGCTGCAAATTCAAACAAATGGAGAATACACATGGATGTAAACACACTTAGGCTGATATATATCATCTCTATACTCTGTGAATGAAAATCTTCACATGGTGATCTGGTTAATTAACCTGCTGTGTCTTTTTGTCTTTATCTCTCTGTGGGATCCAGCATTGAACTGAAATTCATCTCTCTTTTCCCTCTTCGAGCTGCTTCAGGTTTTTTCCTGACGAGTGAAACCAGTCGGCTTTGTTGTCTGATCCACTGAAGCCTCGCACCTGGAAACACCTCGTGTCACACACCTCACCCAGCTCCAAAAACATGTGACCATACAGGCTACACATAACAGAGAACTCAACTGACCCAGTTACTGTGCAGCGCGAGAGAATCACAAAAGATGTTGCATGAAGTGTTGACATTTGAAGTGTGAGTCGAGATTAAAGCATTCAGTGATAAAATATACTACTAATCTTTTCTAATTTTTAGCATTTTAATAATATATACATCTAGTGGTCTGTGTCAGTATTGTGTGACAAAGGTAACAAATATTTAGATTCAAACCTTAAAAAAATGTATATATTCATAGATCATGTTCCTCCTTAATTCACCCTCACGTCAGTCTCAACTCTGCTGTGAGGCAAAAAACATATTTGACTTGGCTCCCCCACCTGGACCTCCACAGCGTGAGCCAGTGTGAAGTTTCTGTTTGGATTTGGGGAGCGCCCTACTTCTACAATCTGAGCTCCCGTGTTTGTGTTTTTGTCCACGAGCAGAGAGAGTGCAGTTTACAGTATCAGACAGTGAGGATGATGGGAATTCTCACAGAGCACAGCACGTGGTTTCTGGCTATGTGGTTCTATGGTGGCTGGGTTTGACACCGAAGTGCTTGTTGAGGCCTGATGTGAAAAAACTAGTTTGATTGAAAATAAACTAAGAATCTGGAAATTAACTTCACACATGTGGACTACTCAGACTGTATCCGATGAGCTCATGACACTTACTCAAAGTTCAGTCAAGAATCATTCATGCACAATTCCCTCTCACTCTCCCCGCTTCCTATAATCAGCCGTCTGTTGGGTGTTTACATTTGTCCAATCAGATTGTGGTATCATCTCAATCAGCCAACCACATCTTTGCCGCTAATGTTCTGCTCTCCTCTCGTCTCACTGTCATTTGTGGTCATTCCAACCCTCCTCTTCCTCCTGTGTCCTGGTCCAGTCCACTCATCATCCAACTGGGAGAAGTCATCAACCGGAGGATCAAGCACGGTAATATTAATATGGAACACACAATTAAAATCACACAAATCTTCATTTGAACACAGTTGATATTACAGTATATCAAAATAAATCACTGAATATCTGAAAAGAGAAACAGAAAAGTCCTGACATGCTTGTGAAGATGTTCCAATGTCCTCTAACAGGTCAATCTTTTCCGATTCCCTGCTCCATCAAAATAGGAAGTAATGATAGCGAGCATGCAGGGAGAATCAGAGACGTTATTCAGAATTAATATGCATGGTAATTTTGAATAACGTCCCTGATGGCCTCTCATATCTCCCTCGAGCAACATTCAGCAAGTCCAGGGCAATTTAGGAATGAAAATTTAATGGTCGACTCCCAGGGCGAGCTAACAGCCAGCATCTGCACACTCAAAAAGCAGCAGTGTCCTCCTTCAGTTTGGTTCAACAGTCAATGTAAAAATGAGGGAATTCAGCAAATAGCAGCACAGAGATACCCCAAAAGACCCCCAAAACACAAAGTATTATGGGTAGAAGAGATGGATGTGGTTCAAACACAAAGAGGCAAGTGATTTCAGCATCATTTATTCATTTGTCCTTAAGTGGCAAGAAACACAGTCACATCCCTGTTGAAGGTGCAGAATCAGATTAATTCTGACTATAAGCTAGTGGACCGAAATCAACTTTAAGAATGTACACACACACACACACACACACAGACACAGACACACACACACACACCGCAGACTGGAAAAATTATTCACAGAGACTTGAAGGAATGACTCAGCAACTTCGTGTGATGATTTAGCAGTTCCTGACATGAATTGACATTATTGTTATTAACGTGAGTGAATCACTCTCAAAACCATTATCAATGCTGGTGCAAAGACTCAGTGTTAGCAGCCGTGTGTCGATCAGAGATCTGGTGACGTCTGAGAGATTATGTGTTCATGGATGAAAATAAAATCTGAGTGAAATTCTAACAATTCAGGACTAAGTGGTTATGTGAGCGCTAGCCTCACTGATGACTAACTGCTCTACTAATCAATGCTTCTATATTAAGAGTAGATATAGTGACTACCTGTTATGGGAAAGAAGCCACTCTAGGCTGAAAATATCTATGTCCGATTCAGTTGCTCCAGACATCCTCCAGTATTTTTGCCCCCTGGTACAATATCTGGAAAATGTCTGAGTGAGCCCATGTGAGAACATATAAAGTATCCAGAAAGTTCTCAGTTAGTGGTGCCACACAAACACAATGAGGAAGCAGACTGAGCTGTCAACTCGGAAAGACAATTAGATTGGTGAGCTTTTGTTGCTAAAGGCAGACGCCAACAAAAACATATAATGGAATTTACACATCATGCTCTGCCTCCTACATGCTCCACCCATTCCCCACCCCTCACCTGAATGTTCTGGACACTATCCTGTTGTTGTGAATGTATCTGACCTGGACCATGTGTTCTTCATATGTGAAAGACAAACTCTGGAAATGTCCAGACCCAATAATCCAGAGTTGGTCTGAAAACTGGCCATAATGACAGAAATAGAGAAGTATTGTTAAATGGTTTTTGCTTGTGCGGCTTTAATGTTTTATTGATGTTCTCTTCCACTTTATTTCAAACAGCAGCAGGCAGCTGTTTTCACCCCCTTAAAAAAGAACTCGCTGTACACAGCCTGCCCAGCACAGGGCGACAAAGTAAACAACTATAGCTGGTGAATGTATAGAGGAGAATTCAGGAGCCAAAGAGCCAAATATTCATTTAAATGAATAATGCTCTAGAGAAAACAACCGAGGATGGCTTATGCTGCAAATGTTATATTAAGATGAGTGGAAGGACCTAAGTAGAAGTATATATAGTCAGGAATGCTGTATATGTGTAGGCTCCCTAAATGTGTTGTACATATTGAAGAATTTATAAGGAGGAGCTCTCTGGAGGAGTTTCCT